TTTTTAGTCCATTGGATAAACTGGACTTTCCTCCTAGGTTTTGCTTCTCAAATGCCCCGAACAAGAAGCAAGCACAGGGCTCAAGACCCACCTCACCAAAGGAGCCAGGATCCCACTTTTCACATCTGCGCTTGCAACATCCACCCCAGCATCCAAGAAATTCTATTGTGATAAAGAATTAGTTAATTGTGCAGTATCATTGCTAGTCCAGCATGTATGTAGGACTCTGATGGATCACGGCTGGAATTACCTGGAAGAGATTTCGAGGAAAAATCCAATATCTTCCAAGTAAGAAGGTGAGGCATTCCATCTGCATCAATATCGAACGAAGGACTTCTGGACTTCGTGGTAAAATGACTTCCGAAGAGGTTGCACACGGAACCGCATGGTCAAGGAGATCTCCAAGACAAATCCACAGGGGGTGAACCTCAGACCCTCAAGCTAGAACGGATACTACATGCTTAAGAAATCACTGTTTCACCTTACCTCCCACTTCCCCAGGCGACCGGGCTCAGTGGTGCAGAAGGACCTGGCTCCAACAAGAGCCAGCCGCCCAGGTTCACACCACGCCTCGGTTGAGGTCGGGAGATCCTGTCTTAGGCCTCGAAGAGGGCACCAGGAACAAAGGGCATCGCTACTAGGAGCAAGGACGCTACTAGGGGCTCCTGGCCATACTACTAGTAACAAAGAAGCTACTAGGAGCAAAGGGCATCGCTACTAGTGGCCCAAACCAACCTGGAAGGTGGACATGTTCATGCCTCAGTGTCTATTGTTCATGTTCTGGGTGACGTGACGTAACTGCCCCGTTGGTAGGTCATGCACTTGTGGCTTGCACCGTAAAAAGTCTCCCACAGCTTTCTGTCTGCTTAGGGTTCCGGACCAGGGACGTGCTCGGCCTCCCAAGGAAACGAGTTAGGAGTAGAGCCTCTATATAAAGAATTGGTCAGCAGCAGTTTTCATGAAGAGTTCTAGGGAAACAAAATGCTTGAGAAGACTGGAAAACTTAGAGGGGCAGGGCGTCATTTGTTTGAAGAGTTCACCTTTGCAAGGACCCCTGCAACTCAAGCTTGATTAGTGCAGGTCGAACTGCCACAGTCGGCTCTTTTGCAGCAAAAGGATTTCCAAGTGTAAGGATGTATGGCGCAGCCCTGGAGGACCCTTGGGAGCTGCTAGGGGCGCGTGGTTCGGCCCGCAGCTCCTCAGAAGGATGCAGCCAGCATCTTGGATAGCTTCGGCTCGCACAAAAAACGACTCACACTTGGAAGCCCGACATATTTGAGCACTTTGGGGGATCCTCCAATACCTACGCATTGATGGGTTGCCCCTTCGCTCTTTCACTTTTTGAGTTGACTGGAGAAACTATTGCTTGCTTGGAAGATCCCTCACGCTCACACATCCAAGCGTGGGTTTCTTCATGCTCAACCGCTCAACCATCCCCTCAACCGATCCCCGTCCTCGTAACCATCCTGAGCCAACTTCAGCGCTGCCAACAGTGCCTCGCTTGAGCCACCGAGGCGCACGGCCAGATTTCGCTCGTACGCATCAAGCCTAGCGTGGGCCAGGAACGGTCAGAGCTAACTTGGAGGAAGCTGCCTATTTTTCCGATGCCTGTTGTAGATGAGCCTTCTGAAATGCTACTGTACATAAAGGATTAAGAAGTCTGTTGAGAACTCCTTTTCGTTTGACTATCCAATGCGCAACCCAGACCCAGCAAGAGGTAGACTGTAAAGGGAGGAACATGGTTCTAAGCAAGCTGCTAAACTGATACAGTACGTGCCTGTGCGGGAAAAAGGCCTCGGCTGACTTCGCAGTTTGCTGGGCAGCCACAGAGACTGCGCCATCAGAACCTCCCGACAAAGTTGCGTCCGAAGCATACAGGTTGGGCCGCCAAGGCGTTCTGGATGCAATCAGAAGTGGATTATCTGGCATTTCTGTTCTGTAGCTATACCCTTAATGCACGCGGGAAAATACAGTTCTTCCACATTCCGTCAAATGATAGGCACCTTCTTTTATGTCCCAGATACTATATAGATTAGTTTGGCTTTGAGTCAGGTTCTAGAAGGAACCCCAAACACGGCCTCGCGCATGAGCATCGCGAACTTTGGACAGCCTCAGCAGTGGAGGGCATATTTTGGGGGAGAGACGATCGTATCATCTCCTCTTCCACCCCTCAACATTTCATGGTCAAATGCTGATGCATTGGGTCTGAGTCTTGTCGCTGCTGTTTAACACCAGTTTAAGCAAGGCCTGCAAAACTACCCAGTAGCCCTGACCCTTTCAGTTTTGCGTCCAGCTGCCAAAGGTCATGGGAAGATCATCAAAGCAACCGTTCCAGCTAAGCTTGACAGTGTATCCCTTCTTGATCAGAAGTTCAGTTGGGAGGTCCCCTCATCTGAGACACTATCTGGCACATGACGAGGCAAATACAATGCGGCTACGACAAAA